TATATATATATATATATATATATATATATATATATATATACATACGTTTGTAATTGCAAATTGCTTTTCAGAAGGTTAAAGAGCGGCCTTATTTTTAACTACAAGTTATAAATTTAAAAATAATAATATCTTTAATTTTACATTAATAACTTCAGATTTAATAATCGACTGTCAAGTTTTTTTATCCATCGTACTTCAGGAGGAATTTTCTGTACAGCTCCATACAAATTTCTAAGTCTTATAGCTTTCGAGCAGCAAAAGAAAAATGTAACGTTAAGTTGAAATAAAATACCTGCTGGGTCTTAGCAGCGTCACTTACTCTTATCGGTAAAGTTAGTTAAGTTATTAATTTTACACTTCTCACTAAGTCCTTCACGGATGTTAGTTTATACCAATGTTTGGTCCAGAAGTTTCCTTGTCTTCTAGGTCGGGATCAAAATTACACGGCCACTGAGTAGAACAGTGATAATCGTAAACTCAGAATTAGAACTGTTGTTCAACGCTGGTTACAAAATAAAACACAATTGTATTTCCACAAGATAACAACTAATATGTGTTTAAATTTGGAACACAAATGAACCACCACAAAAAGTCAGTTTTTGGCAGATATTAATACTTGACGGGTGTGTGCAGTAATAATCTAGATTACATTGATGCTTTTTATTACTAAGGTTTTACTTTTTTATTTACTGTTAACTTCTTTTTTAATAATGTGTGGAAGTTTTTGATGATCCATCATTTTAATATTGTGCCTAATATAAACTTTTCAAATTTGTAAAATTCAATCAGGCAGATAGCTATTAACAGTCTTTAAAGTTTATGTAAACATAAGCCTACTAGAGTCATTCATCCAGCATTACAGATCTTATTTTATCTCATCTTATTAAGTAATTTCCGGTAGTTAGTTTTTATATGCTGTTTAGTTTTGAAATATTAACCTATATAAAACATTAGTTTTAGTAGCACGTAGAAAATACATTCCTTTCGTATGAGGAATACAGAAAATAAGATAGATATTATACGGTATATAAATAATTTTTTAAATAACTCAAAATTATATAAATAACAAACTTTCATTAATTATTTTTTTTAAAGAAAGTATTCTCGTCATCTGAACAGCATTCATTATTACACACATTTATTTCCCTATTAATATCATCGTATCAAAACTTATCAAATCTCTTAATTCAAAAAAGTATATTATGACAACAATCCTAACGGCCAACTTTTATTCATCATTTGCAGAGCTCAATAGCTTTAAAGAAAATTACAATCGCAATCAAAAACAATTAATGAAAAAAACTGAAAAATAAAGCCTCTTCAAATATTATTTTCGGTGAGTGTTCCTTATTATTTTTTTTTTTTGAAAGTATGAAGAAAGGAAAGAAAAGACTTGAAATTTGAATACAAGTATTGATGAAAGACTATTCACTGGAATTTGTTAATAATTAATTGGATTGCTCTGATGAGCAGTATTTAATTAAATACACAAATTGGCTTCATTCAATATAATGATCGCTCTTAAGATCATATACATTTAATGAGAAAATTATGATGATTAGAAAACAAGTTTTATTCCTTGGGTAATATGTTTGATGATGCTTGAAGTATATTGCATCTTGAGTGAAATAGATAGTAACTTTATAAATAGATAGCTACATTATAAATTTGAGATATCAAAATTACAAACTTCATATTAGGTGACATTAGTACTTCAAATTATTTGATGATTTTCGTCAATACGATATAACTCTTAATGCGATATAACTCTTCTTCTCTGACTTTAAATTAAAACTATAATTTGACCTTAATTATTGTAATAGGATAGTAATGTCATAATTTACTGCTAATTTATATAATTGAAAGTATGTTTATGCATATTTGTATGTTTAGGTTGCTTTTTATAAAAAAAGGTGGTTGTATTTTGGATCAGAATGTAGCATTAATTATTAATTGCTTTAAAAACATAACATTAGGAAAGTTTTCTTTTATATTTTTGGTGATTTATATCCATTTGAAGCAAACGTATTACATTTTGTAAAATTTTAGCAGTAAATTAGTCATTTAACGTAAAAGAACTAACATGTAGAAACGTGAGAAAATAACTAACATAAACAAGAAACCATAACCATAAACAAGAAATTTGATCTTTTAGTAGTCCGAATGTTGTTCTATCTCTCTTGAAAAATACCATTGCGCAATGTAATCGTCTTCAGATAGATAATAGTTTCGATATGATATTCTAATACTCAGTTTGGTAAAAAAAGAAAAAATTAAAAGGACTCGTAGAATAAAACAAACTATAATTATTCGTCTACAGTGCACGAAAAAATAAACGGACCACTTTCAATAACTGTCAAAATAATGATAGGATCTTCTTGTTCTAGGACAAAATTTTAATGATTTCGGGAAAGGTCATATATATGGTCTCTATGTATATATATGGTCTATAATAAAGGTCATACATATGGTCATATATGTTAAAACAGATGTTACACAAACCCAATTTTCTCTAATGAGTATACTTCCTTTGATTGCTTTGTTTTTACATGTGTCATAGTATTCAAGAACTTTTTATTTTGATCCTTTTTCTGTATCTTGAGTATATAATATCATATGTGCACAGTATTACTGCTTGCGGTTTTTACGAAATATACATCATACATTTAATCCAACCCTAAATTTTAAGACGAATATGAATTTTTTGGAGGAAAACTTATTGAGATTAACACAGTTATATATTAAATCGTTATTAACAGCAGGGAACGGCTTACACATATGGCATAACATAATAGAAATTCGGAAAAAAAATACTACTAAACTTACTTCCCATCTGACATTCTTAACATGTTAGATAATATTATATATATCTTAAATAATATTTATTTATATTTCCTTTATTCTATTCTTTTCATTAATGCACTATATATTATTCAAAACAGTAGGTTAAATATTAAACACCGCAATTATCAGTTGTTGACGTATGCCTATTTAGGTAGAGCGGGTACAATTGTTCTTGTTTTATAGTGGCGCCATCTATGGCCAAGAATTCGACTTCTGCCACACCATACGTCAAACCCGTTTATAAGACGGATCCATTCATACATCTATTCATTCCTCCACAGATCGTAATTTTCACCTGAATCAGAGAACGATCGATCTCCAATCCAGTACCCCCAGAGGTATTGATTTGTTATGGGAACAAGAAGGACTTTTGTGACTTGACAGATTTAACGCGCATCAGTCACTTTACTACACGGGGAGTCTTCGGCTGGTGGAGTTCGAACCCACGAACTCTCGGATATGGGCCCAGAGCCCTACCGTCCAGGCTATCCCGTCCGCACTTATCAGTAAAAACATGAGAACACACACACGGAGGATGAATGAAAGAAGCATAGTAATGGAGAATTCTTATATTCTTGCGTTAGTATGCGCAGAGGTAATGTACAAATGCTAATGCAAAAGATCTCTCACATGTCTTTTACTTACAGACTGCCTCTTCAGTGTGTGGCCAGTGATTTTTCATGTGTTACAGTGAAATACCTTTATCTGTCACTTTCTATTAATTTTTGAAATTTTCCTCCCTCATTACTAAAATTAATTTTTTCAAAAAACTATCCGAAAAAATTACTAATAAGACAGTAATTATTTTTATACAAATCCTTTAATTTAAGTGTAAGAAGGATACGTGTATAAGAAGGAATTACAATTTCCTCTTATACACGATGAATTCAGTACAACTGTTGGTTTTACATTTGCCATATTTAAACAATTGAAACTTGTTCTCTGCTTCACAATCAAAGCAAGTTCGCAGAAGGAAACATTCTGCCAGAGATGTACGTTCCACTGAGATTAAACTACTATTGCGGGAATTCAAAGTTAATCCCGGAAATGGTATTTTAGTTAAATTCCCTGGCAACGATAGGATTCAATGGGGGGAAGCCATCTATTAACTGAAGTGATGCGGGACTTAGTTTGAGGACACTTTAAGACGTGATAGCCACTAAAAGCTCCCCTGGTAAAGAGTTTAACTCACCCCTTATACTCTAAAATAGCAGATAAAATTAAATGTTATCCGACTATATATCGGTTGGGGATCACTGAGATTTACAGACCATGATCAGAATATCAAAGTAATACTATTATGTCTATCTATATCTAGATCCACACAAAGACACACACA